GGAAACTTAAATTGTATCCTTATCCAAAAGAAAGAAAAACAATCTGTTTGGTATACATTTGAAAATTATGATGACCTTCTTCTTTGATTTGAAATAATATATTGTCATTATAAAGTATATCTCCAATTTATAGTGTGTCTTTTTTTTTCTTTGGGAATTTAAAATACTTTCAATAATTTGGGCTTTGCGTGATTCCCCCAGAATTGTAGAGTATGACTGATAACTGCCTGTAGAATCCCTAATAGCTAAATTACAATTATTATGCAAAGTCCTGCAATAGACAGTTATATGGATTATTAAATGACTTTGCCTTTTTTGCAAACTATAATCATTTTCCTTTATTAGCTGAAGGATTTCATAATTTAAGGAAGATGAGAAACCTATAAGTCACGCTTTCAAATAAGGAACATGGATATTGCAAACATTAAATTCCCCCATAAAAATGTTAAGGCATCATTAAACTAGGTTCAGATTAATACAATTCAGTCAACTCTAGATAGATATCTCCCATAATAAGCTGAAACAATACCTAGTGATCTAAGATGTAAAATATTTTACTACAGCCAATTTATAAACCTATAAAACATACAGGTATCATTCAACCCCTTTATTAATAGTGCATGCCTTGTATTAAATCAAAACCATTTTAAAGGCCCCTCCCTTTTGGCATTCCCTTCCTCTGCTGTTGCCCCTCATTATGTGTTATCTTACTGAAGCTCATCCAAAGTGAATGACAGCATCCTTTTACTAGAAGCAGCATAGGCAATTCCCAGCCTAGTGATACAGCTTAACTATCTCCAAGATTTATAGACACACTTGCTATCCTCAACCTACAATATTCTATGGTCTAATGTTGATGTATTTGTTTCTCTGTAAGCAGATGTGGTTTTCTCACTTTGGAAAACTGTAATTTATTATTTTTTAAGTTTTTGCAAGTTGCTTTACATGTGAATTACATTCCCAAGAAAAAAATTAACAGTGGGAAAACTTAGGATTCTGGACTGTTTTGAAGCTGTTTGGAAGAATCCTTTTTCACCATTTTTCCCCAAGAAGAAAGCCAAATCTTTTGTATTATCTGAATTACCAAAAGTTTTAATAAGTTGTCTGTTCTAATGATCCATTATTGTGTAACAACCTGAAAGCAATGGTTTAACAAAACCCAAACAACGATGATTTAATTATTCTCACAAATTTGCAGTTGGACCTGGATTCTGTGGGCTAACTCATCTCTGCTCTCTTCGGCATCAGCTAGTCCAAGGTTAGAGGCTAGAATCACCTGAAGATTTGCTCATATGTTGGGTGGCTGTGTGGTTACTAATCCCAGGTGGTATCTCCAGTCAGGTGCCTTTAGGGCAGCCTGATTCAGACTTGTTGACTTGTGGCTCCCAAAGCTGAGTCCCAGGGAGGCACAGATGGGACAGCTGAGAACAGATGACACAGGAACAGATGGGAGCTCTAGCACCTTTCCCAACCTGGTCTCCTAAGTCCTACCCATTACTTCCACCTTATTCTGTTTGTTGAAAGAGAGTCAACAAGGGTGATCCATAATCATGGAGAGGGGAATTGGACTTAACCTGTTGATAGGAGAAGTGTCAAAAAATGTGTGAACATGTTTTAAAACTGTCACAGCATAAATGGGGAAATTAATCCAGTACTTTTAAGTATCACTCTGGAAAATAATCAAGTGTGCATTTCTTTTTTTTTTTAAGATTTTTAATTTATTTACTTGACAGACAGAGATCACAAGTAGGCAGAGATGCAGGCGGAGAGAGAGAGGAGGAAGCAGGCTCTCTGCAGAGGAGAGAGCCCGATGTGGGGCTCCATCCCAGAACCCTGGGATCATGACCCGAGCTGAAGGTAGAGGCTTTAACCCACTGAGCCATGCAGGTGCCCCCAAGTTGTGCATTTCTAAAGTTGCTTCACAGAAACCGCACTTAAAATGTAAATTTTTTTAACGTAAAACTGTTTTTTTTTCCAGATTGAGGTAAATTGAAAAGTAAAGTTGTAATATGATAGTTTAATATGCATATATATAGTAAAGTGGTTACCAAAATCAAACTGCAATCGAGTTAATTAACACATCACCTCACATAGTTATCTTTTGTGTGCTTGTGTGTATGTATGAGAATGTCTGTCTGCATTACTATGTTCCATTGACTCATAACAAGACGTGTCATCCCAAGTCATCCTGACAAAAAAACAAGGTACAATAAATGAAATTTTAAAATATATACAAATATTAGTATCCTTAACAGAGGAATTTTGAACTCTGACTCATCACAGACACATATGTATGGATTAAGCTATTAAAGAATTTTCATACCATTTTGACATTAGAGTTCTTGCATATAACATTAATTAATAGGTTGTTTTTCACACAAAATCATCCTAAAAGAATCTTTCTTAAACTGGGAAAATAATTTTAAAGAATGAAGACCAAATCTCTAAAACTGAGATTACCCAAAAGAATAAGGAGAAAAAAATAAAACAAAAACATTAAGGTATAATGGTTAAACTGATATGTATATATTGACATATATACTTATACATATAAAGTCATTGAATATTGAGGCTATAAAAGATTAACAAAATCCCTGTAAATAATTGGCCAAAAATACTGTATCACTGAATTTGCTAAAATAACATTACACAATAAAAACCTTATTTCTCGGGGCACCTGGGTGGCTCAGTCATTAAGTGTCTGACTTTGACTCAGGTCATGATTCCAGGATCCTGGGATCAAGCCCTGCATCAGGCTCCCTGATCAGTGGGAAGCCTGCTTCTCTCTCTCCCACTCCCCCTGCTAGTATTCCCGTTCTCACTGTGTCTCTCTCTGTCAAATAAATAAATAAAATCTTTGGGGGGAAAAAAAAAAGCTTATTTCTCATTGACATAGCAATCTAATCTGAATGTTCTGAATTGATAGAAAGCTTTCCTAAGCTTGAGATATTAGTGCCAGCCATAAGAGGACTGGGCCTCGTTACATGGAGGTTACCAAGAAATTCATTGTCCCATTTGCCAGAGCTTCGAGGTGTATATTTAGTTATCTACCCTTTGTATGTTAGAAAAGGTGACACATGGTACAGATTTCTATGCAGCCATCAGTGGTTTTGCCAGTTGGTCTGAGATCAGTATAAAGTAAAAGTGGAAGACAGTGACAAGAAAAACTAGAGAAAAATTGTATGAATGGATCTCCTAGAGAGGGCATAAAATAGACATATATTTGTGTATGACGCTACTGCCCATCAGAGAGCATCCACCAATGAGAACTCACTTTGCAACCAAGTGGACAGAATGACCTGTCCTGCAGATATCAACCTGCCTCTTTTCTTGGCCATCCTTGTGCTTACAAAATGGATCCAGGATAATAGTGGTCACAGTGGCATTCCACAAATGGAAGAGATGCCTGGGCTTATAATATGGACTTTGCCTCAATATAGCTGATTGAGCACATTATTTCTAAGTTTCCAACCAGCCAGTGTTAGAAACGGAGCCTCTACCCTGGACATAGTATCACTTCTTTGGGGGCTGAGTGAGTGAATAACAGGAACCTAGTTAAATGTCGGCACCCTGATTCTACTCTCCAGGATTCTATCACCTGCACTGATACGGAGGAGCACAGTTCGATGGTAACATCCCCACTGCCAATTCTGACCTGTGAGCACAGCCACTGTGAAGCTTCTCAAAGTTGTCTGTGCCTCCTTACTTCCTTAGTAAAGGAAAGGCCTCTGAATTGTCCCAAGCAACACAGCAAGATGGCAGGTTCTTGGGTCAACCTACACCATATCAATTCTAACTCCTCTATCTTTATGAATGTTCTGAACTATTTTGTATTCTACCACATGATGTCTTATTATTTCCACAACTTTTACTCTAGTGCATCCAGGTCAGGCTCCTGAGGAACAACAAAGTACATGGATGAGCTCTAGGTATCACTCCTACAGCGCGGAATCATGACTCATGCCGAGTAACACCATGTCAATGAATTCTCCCCTTTGCAGCTGAATCTTATGTACCACCCTCTACTCAAGATTCTCTTCCACCTTAGCCCCCAGGGTCCTGCCAATACATGTTAACCAACATATGTACCATTGCCTGTGCTCCCAGTTTAACTTCTCAGAGACCTAACTTTAATTTATCAGTGATTTGACTGAAGTTAGGTCTAGGACCATGACTTGAAATGGAGCAAGGCCAATGGCAGTGGTACTGAAGTGCAGGGGGTAAATGGTTGCTTTCTGAAGGAAACTGTACTCAAAGAAATCTGAGAAGGCCCAAATGTCTGTCTAATATGGTGTGTCTTTCAGGACAATAAGGTCTTCAAGGTTATATATTTAGCAAATAGCATTTGTTTTTTCTTTCCCTGTGATGTTTGGATCTCTATGTGAACTAAAATCAACTGCTCTTTTTCATATGAAAAGCTGTATAAGTTAATTTCTCTATGATAATTACCCTCCTTAGCAAAGAATACAAGGAGAGGCAGAATTTTTCATCATTAGACCAAATACAGACTACACTTACAGGCAAGGAATTTAAATCTTTAAGGCCTAAGGTATAGGTAAAATAAGTAGTATGAGTAATAAGTAATATCCAGATGTAAGCAATATCAAGAACTCACTGAATTCCTGTAAAGGCATTTTCAAAATTAAATTCATGCATTTCTACTAAATTGTGAACTTCTACAAATTTATAAATTCAGCTCTATAACACATTAACTATATGAAATATAATTACATACTTCATTCAAAAGAAATAAAATAAAGGTCAACTGAGGCCTCTGGAATGGTAGTTTAATAACATTATTAAGCAGAGTTTATTTGGCAAGGCAAATCGGATAGCAATGCCTCAGTAAGTTATAGTGAGTGCTATTCTGTGTAATAGAGAAAAAGGTTTCATGTGAAGCAGAGTATACAAATACAAACAACCAAAAGGGCAAACTCTGTATCTGAAAACAAAGCTATGGCTTATGTTCGGCCATTTCACTTTTCTAAGAGAATTATTTAAAAAAAAAAAAAAGACTGCATACAAAGGGTAAATTTCATTATCATGTGAATATTTGAAACTCTCTGATATAATAAATCCCCTAGGATTACACGTCTGCTAAACAGATTTCCGTCTCTTTCCGAATACATTATTGATCAATTTAGCCATTGATTTAGATCCACTGGGTCTTCTCTTTTCTTTGAGTTTGAAGTTTGTCAGGATGTCCTTGATAATTCTGATAAACATCATTTCTACCTCCAGAGACTGCTCTGCTGCAGACAATTCACAGAACTGGCATCGGTTATCCAATGCCAGCTTCTGCCCTTCTTCCCAGCCAACCTCTCGTACATGACAGAGATCTTGCTTGTTACCAACCAAAAGCACGGCTGATTCCACAGCTCTGAAATATAGAACACAACTCTGGCAAGATTATTTTGCATCTTTTTTTTCTCATTAAGTGTATATCAAAATGAATTACTGACAAAAAAAAAAAAAATATATATATATATATATATATGTGTGTGTGTGTGTGGGTGGGTGTGTGTGTGTGTGTGTGTGTGCGCACATGCGTTTGTGTTCCTTAAAGTCTTATGTATGTCTATGACACATATCCCCACTTACTTGCAAAAATTATTTTAGATAGAACGTAGTATGTGACACAGAAGCAGCAAGACTCTTAAAGCATAGGATCAGCACTGATATAAACCTATTCTTGAATTATGGGTCTGTTTACTAATAAGGCATGATTGTTACTCTTCCCACTTTCAATTTTCCTATATGTAAAACAATGGTAAAATAACACTCATTACACAGAATTCTCATAGAGATTAAATTGAATGATGGATGTAAAAATACTTAGCACAGTGACTGGCAACAAAAGATGCTTACCAAGTATTATTTTTCATTTCCTTATCAGTTGAAAGAGAAGGACTAACTAATGTCTCTTTGCTGAATAGTTACGGTAATTTAACAATTTAGATAGGATTTCCCCAGAGAAAATATTACTCAATACTCACTGCTGTTTGTTCTTTGTTAATATCCGTTATATCATACTCTAGAGAAAAACGTTATGATCTCAGGATCTTGTACAATTTTTTATTTATTTAAGCAATACGTTTCTTTGTTAAGATGTCTTCAGCAAATATCAATGTATTCTCCTTGGTTATAGTGACACATTTCTAAAACAGAATTTCATTTGAAGGCTATAGTAAGACAACTAGTCCTCAAATGCCATGGAACTCTGCCAAGTTATCCACTTGAGGGGAAGTATGGACAAATGCAGTCTTCAACTCTATCTGAAGAGATACTGTCTTTATATTCTGCTCAAAGCTGGCTTCATTCACATGATGGTGTGAGTGGTGAGGGGAAAAAAAGCACAGTATGTAGACTTTTCAGAGTATTAATATCTTTTTCTGTGAAATTCAGAAAATTATTGTAAAGGATTAATGGGAAAGAGTAAGTGAAATATTTTGAAGACTGAGTCACAAATATCAGATGCAATTTAAAAAAAAAACAGTAACATATTTTACTATTCTAGTCTATCTACAGACTGAGAACCGGAAATGCTGAAAAATACTTAGTACATTAATAAAATTGCCTGGAAAATATCAAGTATAGGTGTTTTCACTTTTATGTTTTTGATTATTCTTAAGTGATTCTTTTGATTTGGAGGAATAGCAAAAAAAGCTTATTACTATAACTTATCTAAGTCATGCTACTTAAATATGAGGTATTTAATGCTTAAAACAATGGAGTTCAAAAAAATCTGTAATATTAAAGGAAATCAGAGCTCTGAGGTACGTTGGTAAAATCATATCCTTTTCTTCTACCATGTTTCTATCAGTTTTATAATCAGAAAAATTAGGTCTAGAGATTAAAGTGGTTTTCCTAAGGTCAATCAGATATAAACAAGAATGTACGCTGATTGACTCCAGGAAAATACCCTTGATGAATTATTATCCATGTTTTCTTGATAGGGGGCATTAAAATAGATATAAAACACATATACACATTTTCAGAACTAATACTGTGTTTCTTGATTCTCAGATTAGAATGTTATTTCAGGCTCTCAGGGCAAATCTGATCCAGAGCACAAAGAATCTTTTGTAGCAGCATCTTGAACAAACATCAATATTTTAAATGCAAAAGGCTAAAACAAAAAATAAGGAAAGCTAAGTGGGAAATTCATATGGTTAAACTTACACCTACTAATACAAGAAGGGTTTAAGAGACAGTTCTGTCTTCCTTCAAGCTACTTGTGTCAAAACAATTACAATGGGAAATCATTGATCAGCTCTTTATTTTAGGAGGTGAAAGAGAAAAATGTATTCTCACATTTAGAAATTATAATGGTTGACTCTTCAGTCTATTTTGCTTTGATAGATTGAGCAACCCAATGACTAGGAATTGGATGCCAAATGTAATAAATTTGGATTTATTTAGTATCCTTAACATTTCTGTGGGAATGAAAAGAAAAGGTTGCAAAGTGAACTGTCTTGTATACAGAGGACCAGGGTTTTGCAAGTGAGTGTCATGTTAACAATAGAATCTGTCTTGTAAAATAGCCATTTACTCAGAGCAAGTAACTGTTTATGTCAGCCGGGATATAAAGTATTCTCATCTTATTCCTTTTACTACATGTCTAACTCCTGTGGAATGGAAGGTGAATTGTTCAGGGTTGTTAAATTTTGTAATTGGAAGGCTGTATTAAACTCTTCCTAATGATGCTTATAGCTATACGATGATTTACTCAAAAGAAAGGAGAGAGGAATGAAGAATATCATACCTTTTACAATGACTAGTTTGTGGCTCCCGAATTCTGTAGATCAGTGCTTTTGCAAAAGCAAATGAGGACCTGTCACTGATGTCATACACAATAACAAACCCATCTGCCCAGTGCAGCTCACTTGTGAGGGAAAATTTTGCTTTCTGTGGCTGAAAACAAATCAAGCACATTGAAACTGGTAGTACAGTTCACCTGCATTTTACACCTTAGACAATTAATTAATAGAAAGCCCATTTCACCTAAAAGAGACATTAATAAGCCAAAGACTGATGATATTTTCTAAAATGTAGTTTCCTTCGTTCTCTCTTCCTTATCACTTTCTTTAATTAAAAGTGATTAAATGCTTAAAATAGAGAGAAAGTATAATAAAGTTTTATTATCTATCTCATTTGCAACTTTTCTTTAAGAATATATCTTAAATTTTTTGAAAGTTGGATAAGCTGTAATAATTGCCCTTTGAATTAATATTCACATATTTGTTTTGAAAAGAGAAAATATTTTCTATCAGTATTAGCAAATGGGTTATCTATTGATTTTTGATACTAGATTTAAATCAGAGAAAAAAAAAAAACACCGATAAGGTTTAGCTAAGAACATTAAAGGGATATTTTACATAACTAAATGAATCTGTGTCCTGGAGTTGTTTTATTTATTTTTTATATATTTTTTAAAGATTTTATTTATTTATTTGACAGAGAGAGACACAGCAAGAGAGGGAACACAAGCAGGGGGTGGGAGAGGGAGAAGCAGGCCTCCCGCTGAGCAGGGAGCCTGATGCAGGGTTAGATTCCAGGACCATGGAACCAGGACCTGAGCCTAAGGCAGATGCTCCCGCTGAGCAGGGAGCCGAAGCCTAGGACCATGGATTATGACCTGAGCCGAAGGTGGATGCTTAACCAACTGAGCCACCCAAGCGCCCCTAAACTATTAACTTCTAATAGCTATACTGTGAAATCTTAGAAATATAAATGCAGTCTAATATCGCTATTTTAAAGATATTTGTACTATGGTAATTTTTGTCATAACTTTACAGAGAAGCTAGATAATGGAATTTATAATATTAAAAATAATCTCTTAAAACTTTAATTAAAATTGAGAATAAATTTCAGTTTTAAGATTGGCAACTTTATTTTCACTTACTCTTCTCCAATCTTCTTCAAATCATGATTGAAAAAATAAAATAAAAGCATATTTTGTTTTACTTACTTGAGAACCAGGATCGTATATTTCTAGATTCAGTTGCTTCCCTTCCAAATACAAATGCTTGCTATAGATAGATTCTGCAAAATATGCATATATTTGTTGCAGTATGGAAATACTCCAGAATGAAAAAAAAAAAAAAAAGGAACTCATATTTGAATCACAATCTTGCAAATGCAATTGGTTATCTTCTAATAGAATAGTACAGTGGCTTTTTTAAAAATGTTAGTGGTCAAATACATGTATTTGTTTTATTTGTTCATATATATGTGTATATACATATGTGTGTGTGTGTGTGTGTGTGTGTGTGTGTGTATTTCTTACAAATAAACTTCACCACCATATCTATTCAACTATATAATATGGTGCTTATATACTTATCTCCCATCCTATAACTATGGATGAGTTATCTGTGTTTCTAAGATCAATGCATTCATTATACACTAGTTACCAATTACTCTGATCTACTGAAAGACATGACCCCACCAATTTTACCTCTTTCTTCTGCATCATAAATTTTTCTTTACTACATCATTATTAACAGCTGAATTTCTAACAACAATCCTTTAGAACCCCCAATGTCTTCAACAATTGCCCTATTTCTCTGTTGGCCTTTTAGTTACGTATCCAGCCCCCCCGAACCTCATGTCCAGTTTCTCTCCCCCAAGTTCTTTCAGTTATTCCAATCAGGCTTTAGCTCCAATAACTTAACTAAAACTGTTCTTATCAAAGTTATGGTTTTAGATTCAATGGGTAATTCTATATCTTGATCTTACTTGCCCTACTAGCATTAATACAGTCAATCACTCCTGCCTCTTTAAAAGGTTTCCTTCACATGGTTTTCAAAGCAACATATTCCCCTGTTTTTTTTTCTTTGTTCCTTGTTGCTCAGTATTAATCTTTTTTATTTTTCCCCAACATATCCTCTCCCTCTCCAAACATGGGTCCAGTTCATGGATCTCTTCTCTATCTAGACTCCCTTGCTAATCTCATTCAGAGTTCTATAGAACAATTTTTGCTAAGGAACCCAATTTATATCGGTCCCTAGACCACTTCCTTGTACTTCAGATGCAAACAACTCCTGCAATTGCACATCTCCCTTTAAACACCGAACAGACATCTCAACCTGAAACACTCAAAAATGAATCTCAGATCTCCCTAAAAAGACTGTATCTTCCACAGTTTTCCATTTCATTAAATGACATACCCATAACTCCAGCTGATCGGGTTAAAAGCTTTAAGTGACCCTTGATCCTGTCTTTCTCTTACCTTCCATATTTATCCTATTAAAAATTCCTTTTTATCCTATCTTTAAAGTATATTTTGAATTTGTCTGTTCTCATCATCTCTATTGTTAGAACATCATTATATTTTGTTTAGATTATTACAAAACCCCTCCTATTTCATCTCTCTGCTTTAACCCTCTCCTAATTCCCTTCTCATGCTTACTCTATTCTCAACACGGGAGCAAAAGGGAATCTTGTACCCAAATCATATCACTTGTCTGATCAAATCTCTCCGAATGGCTCCCCATCTCACTTGGATAAAGCAAAGCCTTTAAAATGACTAAGAATGGCCCTCATTGTCTAGTCCCCCATGACTTCTCTGGCTATTTTCCCTCGAATTTTTCGCACCTAAGCTACACCATCCTCCATACCATTCCTCAACTTTTTCAGAAATTTCCTGCCTCGGAATTTTGATAATTGTTCCTCCTGCCTGCCCGTAAGCCCACAGATATCTTCATGGCTCAGTTTTCACCACCTTTATGTCTCTGTCCAAATGTCACCTTCTCAGAGAAGTCTACCCTAGCTATCCAATTTTATTTATTTATTTATTTATTTTTAAAGATTTTTTTTTTTTTATTTATTTGACAGCGAGAGATCACAAGTAGGCAGAAGCAGGCAGAGAGAGAGAGGAAGGGAAGCAGGCTCTCCGCTGAGCAGAGAGCCCGATGCGGGGCTCGATCCCAAGACCCTGGGATCATGACCCGAGCCGAAAGCAGAGGCTTTAACCCACTGAGCCACTCAGGCGCCCCCTAGCTACCCAATTTTAAATGGCCACATACCATACTAGTGCCATTCCCCCATGCTGTTTTCTTTTTCTTCATAGCATTTATGATCATGTGACATAACTTAATTTTTTAAATTGACCCCCTCTTCTGGAATCTAAATGTTATGGAGGCTTAGATAATTGTCTTTTTTGTTCACTGCTATAGCTTCTCTACCTAGAAGAGTATCTGGGACATGGTAGGTGCTCAAAAAATATTTGTTAAATGAACAAGGGACTACCTTTCTGTAACTTTTCCTCCGGGGTTTAATTTAAGACCTACTTCTCTCCAAAATGGTACACTGACAAAAATCATGCCCCACTCTGGCAATGTAACCCATAGTTTAAAAGATGTAGCAAGCATTTGGGAAACTAACTTCAGGGGTTAGGGATGACTATTAAATTCCTTCTAGGCTACATTTAATAAAATCTGTTATAGTTTAATTAAACTTTAAAGTACATTTTCAGACAGTTCTGTCTAACTTCATAGGTTTACTACTGACTGTGAACCATAAAAGTTCCTTCTAGAAATTTAAAAACATCTACTCTCAACTCAAAAACTGCCAGCAGGGGTCACAAACTCTTAACTTTTTAGAATTTTATTATTTTTCCCTTCTGGTCTTCACTTACAAGATGAGGTCATTTTTTTCTGCTTTGTCCTTATGCAAGGATAACCTTTTGCTCATTTGATTATCTTTTCAAAATGTCTCCAACTCTTATTTTTTTAATGAAAATGTACCAGCCAAAATTGTACATACTTCATTTGTTTACATGCCTATATCTTATAAAAGATTAATGGTACATTTTGTTGTTGCTGCTGTTATTTTTAGGTGTGGTTTTATTTATGTCATATTTTGCTTTGTTTTGTTGTTCTGGAACATTTTTCCATGCCTGACTCCTATTTTGTGTGTCTATATATATAGATAGATAGATATATTTTAAGATTTTATTTACTTATTTGACAGAGAGAGAGAGATCACAAGTAGGCAGAGAGGCAGGCAGAGAAAGAGGGGGAAGCAAGCTCCCTGCTGACCAGAGAGCCTGATGCAGGGCTCGATCCCAGGACCCTGAGATCATGACCTGAGCTGAAGGCAGAGACTTTAACCCACTGAGCCACTCAGGAGCCCCTATTTTGTGTTATATTGACTGAGGTTTTTGACCTGAGAAATGAAACAATAGGAATTTCTCTTTCTATGTATTTCTTTTTAAATCATTTTCCAAGCACTTTCCCTAACATATTGACAATGTCTTATTACTGAAATAGTATCTTAGATACATGTAGAAAGCAATACAATACTTTAAAGTTACTTTTAAAATTCTCTAGAAATGTTACCTCATGAATGGAGGCACTAAAAAATATTTTTTAGTGGAGGGAATTATTTCTCATGGAAAAATACACTTGTAATGATAACTTCCTATTACTTGAGGAATTATTAAACAAAAAAATCAAAATCATTCCCCTTTTTCCCAACTCTTTTTTTTTTTTTAAAAGATTTTATTTCTTTATTTGACACAGAGAGAGAGATCACAAGTAGGCAGAGAGGCAGGCAGAGTGGGGTGGGGGGGAAGCAGGCTCTCTGCTCAGCAGGGAGCCCCATGCGGGACTCGATCCCAAGACCCTCAGATCATGACCTGAGCTGAAGGCAGAGGCTTAACCCACTGAGCCACCCAGGAGTCCCATCCCTTTTTCCCAATTCTCATGTTTGTTTGTTTTTAATAAATCTGTTGTTCTTTTTTAAAAACGCAAAAACACTTTTCCCTCATGCCTTAAGTCAGGTGAGATATTAGTACCATTATATTGATTAATTGCTGAGTCAAAAATATACTCAAACTCTGGCAAAATTCCTCACTTTTTATTAATGCCCCACTGTGGTATTTCCCATATGTCATGTTAATTCTGATCAAAATGAATTTAGAGCAGAGTTAGTAAAATGCTTCTAAGATTATATTAAGGTGCTCTGGCACCTGTTTTGAATTTCTCTGAAACTTAGATAAGCCACCTAGATAATTATGATATGATCTTTAATCAAGGCATAATTTTCCTGTTATTTTCACACAGTTTTACAATTAAAATAAGCTTTATTTTGTAGTTCTAGTACTTTTATAATTAATTTGTCCTTATCTTTCAACAGATGTTTATTTAATTCAGAACTGTTTACAAAATTATTCATACTCACATGCTTTACAATATTGGGGGAGGGGAATCTCAGTTTCAATGTTCTTCTAATTCTAGCCTGAAACAAACAGCCTTTCTAATCCATCTCACTTAACATCAAGTTGGGTGAATTTTATCATATAAGAACATTCAATTCAAGTACCTATTTTGGCATTTCCAACCAGAACCTGTATAAATATGTTGCATATTTATAAATATATTGCACTGTATAGAAGTGTAACAAAGGAAAATTCTATCAAAATGCTTCAGTGATCTTAATTGTGGTTTAATTAAAATGCTGACATTTTAAAGGTGAAAAAAAGTCTCGAGTGGTAACTTACCAAAATTAGAGGCATATTCTCCAATGAATCGCTTGGTAAGAAACCTTACTGTGAGGGCTGCAAAAACAAACATGCTGGACTTAGGGGTTTTTTTTCTGTTTTAGGACACAGACAACTTAGCTATGTACATAAGGTTTTATCTTTCAGCTCAAAAATTACCAAGCATTAATGCAGACCTTAAAGCTTTATTAAATTCTAGTCTAAATAATAGTCAGCAAGATTTTCACTGTACAACCATAAAGATTAAAAGACTAGAAAGAAAGTGATCTGCCTATTCAAAACACTATGTACTTAATCCATGAATGCGAACAGGTAAAGCAGCTTACTTTATGTAACAGAAACAGAGTTCTCATCAAGTTTGAGATTCAAGAACTATAACATCTCTTTATATTCTTGATTGGATTAAATCTGGTTCCAAGGTGCTGCGTGCTAATAGTGACAAAGACAAGACCAAGCATTTATAGCTGGTTGTGAAGATACTGGGACTTCAAACTCCAGGACACCCGGAAAAGGACCTCTAGTGTCAGTTCATCTTGTTCTAGCTCCTGGGTCTGGCCAGGTGTATGGCTCAGGAAGTTCAGGTAGCTCTGTTGGTGGTGTCCTGACCATCATGATGGAACCAAAAACGAAATCCAGTGAAATAAAACAAATCCATGGCTTCCAAAGTCAGTGCACCTGTTGCTCAGTCCCCAGGCATCTATAAAGCCATGCCCATCCTTAGTTTCTTCACTCTAGTGATGTTGCATTTGAAAAATAATCCAAGCCACTAGACAACAGTAAATGCCTAGGGGGCTCAGTTTGTTAAGCATCCGACTTCAGCTCAGGTCATGATCTCGGGCTCCTGGGATCGAGCCAGGAGCTGGGCTCCACACTCAGCGGAGTCTTCTTGTTCCTTTCCTTCTCCCTCTGCCCCTCCCTCTGCTCATGCTCTCTCTTTAATTAATTAATTAATTAATTTTAAAAATCCACAGGTCTCCATGAATTTTCCTCTACCCTTAGTATCAGAGCAGAAGATTCAGTTCAACACCATTGTTTGGCTACTAGTGGATGTGAGGTCCGGTGTGGTGGAGTGACAAGTAGGTGGGACAGTGATGGAGGCATTTACTATTATTCCTGTGAATTTTAAAAAGGTATAAATTAACACATATCTTTCTCAAACTGTCTATAAATTCTATAAATATACAGTTAATTGTATTATTTACTCATAAAAATGAAAATTCCTAATGAAAATTAGTATGTAATAATTATATAGTAATAAAATAAAATAAAAGTAATATGCATAATTATATAGCTGTATCTATCTATTAGGTCAATATATTTCTCTCTCTTTCTCCTCTCTGAACCACGCCATAGGAAACAACACCACTCACCAGATTTGCCTGTTCCTTCACCACCCAAGACAGCAAGTTTCACATCATTCATCTTGTCTTTCTGCTCCTGTCTTCTGGAGCTATACTGACTTGAGTCCAGCATGTGCTTTTTATTAATACTTTTTATTAATGCTGCTATAATTTCTCTAAGGCCAACTCCGCCCCATAGTCCTATCATCCAATAATAACTTTAAAAAATGTTTTCCTGGAGTCTTTTTAAACATATTTCGCTAAGGAAAACAAAACAAAACAAAACACTGCAGTTACTGTTCAGACTTAAAGTCTTCTTAAGTCAATAGTTAAGAATTTCTAGACTAAGCTAAGAAAGCTTAGCTCCCAATCCTCTATTTTTATGTACACAGAATATTCCTTTCCTTAGGATGTAGAAAGATGATTTCATTAAGAAAGCTTTTAGATGATGAGTATACATTCCTGTAAATCTACTTAGATTGGATCAGTTTTGATTTTTCTATTAATACGTGAGCCTACAGCTTCTTGGCCTTCTTCTGTGAAAGACAAGGGGAATAAGTTAACTCAGTCATGAAAATAAATGAGAGAAGAAAGAGGATGGCTACCTCAAATGTATTAGTTTAGGGTTGACAACAGGGCACACAAATATCCAGCCCATGTTTTGGGGCTCATGTGAGTCATGTGAGGCTCTGAATGAGATATGTGGACCCAAAGGGTTTTACATTGTCTTTCCTGATAAACAATCCCTCTCTCTTTTTTAAATTTTATGCCAATAGACAATAGTGAGTTTTCTGAGAAAAAAAATAAACCAAGCAGCTTCATTTTGCTTAAAAAGCAATAAACAGAAACCTACATTTCCTTCTAGAGTACTTAATAATTAGTAAGAAAAGAAATTCAAAAAAGGAATAAGATTTGGATGGGGTATTGTGATATATTTTACTCCTGCTATGACCTAAAGAGGTAAATTTAATATGCAAAATGATGGGTCTTTCATACTTTTAACCACTTTTCCCTACCACAAATCCCTGTATTACTTTCTTCCCTGTCTCTTTCCCCATTTGTATATGTATGAATCAGATGGTTGAGAAAAAAGTACAACAACAAATACAAGAATTCAATCTTATCTACTCAATTTTGAGGCCCCGATAAAGGAGTTCCATTTCTAAGCTGGGTTGATCACAGGTATAACGTGATTTTTTTAAATGCATTTATTTAACAAATGTTGAGTAATTGCCATTTTTCATTGAAGCTATGTTGGGTTTACAAGGTCAATAATTATAAAGAACTTTTTTGGCCTTAATGAAGCAACAGTATACTATGATGAAAAATGACACAATTATAATTACAATAAACATGATCATGGCTAAAATAGGGCTCTAACCAAAGGCTGGGGAAAACTGAGCAGTGGATGGAAAGGACTTCAAAAAGTAGATAAAGCTTGAAACATAAGCAGAAGCTTGAAACCCAACAGAAGAAAGAAAGAGTGATTGGGGATTAGGGAGATGTATCTATTCCAAAAGAAGAAATATATTCTGTAAAGAAAAAAAAAAAAAAGGCAAAAGAATGTATGGCAAATGGCAAATTGTGTGATCAACAAAGTAACAGCTGAAACAAAATTTTCCTTTCATTACAAAGTGTAAAAAAATTTTTAAATGAGCTATGTTATCTTTAACCCATGCACTTATATTAAAAGTAACAAGTAATTATTTTTTATTAAAAAATTAAAAGTTTACCAGGGCACCTGGATGGCTCAGTAGGTTATGCGTTTGCCTTTGGCTCAGGTCATGATCCCAGGGTCCTGGGATCAAATCTCCCATCCAGCTCCCTGCTCAGGGGAAAGCCTGCTTCTCCCCTCTCCTTCCACACCTCCCCCCTGCTCATGCTCTCTCTCTCTTTCTCTCTCAAAAAAATAAATAAATTCTTTTTTTAAAAAGGAAGTTTACCAGATGATTTATTATACTATGGAACTGGATGTTTCTCCCTCTATTTGGAGAAATTCTATTCTTTTTTTTTTTTTAAAGATTTTATTTATTTATTTGACAAACGGCGATCACAAGTAGGCAGAGAGGCAGGCAGAGAGAGAGAAGGAAGCAGGCTCCCTGCTGAGCAGAGAGCCCGATGTGGGGCTTGATCCCAGGACCCTGGGATCATGACCTGAGCCGAAGGCAGAGGCCTCAACCCACTGAGCCACCCAAGCGCCCCGAGAAATTATATTCTTATCTTCTTAAGAAAGTTCTGATCACTGCCTTTAGGAAGTTTAGTATATCTACTGATAGGAAGGAAAAACTTAACTTCATAGTATGCATGATATTGAAAACACTATATAGTTGGTTATCAAAATACCTCCATTCTTACACCATATCCTCCTCCTCCCCACTTCTACTGAATTCCAAAAATAATCTGATTTAAAAAACAGCCTACTGTTGGAGGAGAGTGAAGTTATAAACCAGAATAGAAAGAATATAACTATGTACACACTTTTCTAAGAAACAGAGTGTTTATATTTGTTTGTGGCCTCAGGTAAAGTGTGCTAAAATATCAATATTCTGATAGACATATTACTTATACTACCTGAATCCTCTCACTTTTCCCTAAATATATATTTTTGCACAACCAAAACAAAATTAGTTTATTACTTTATTCATTTATTGAATGAAAAAAATTATTGAGTGTCTAATATGGACTTGACTTATTTTTAGTGCTAAAAACATATTCGTGAACAAAGTACTTGTAGATTCTGGTCATAGGAGATGGACATTAAAATAAAAAAAAAGCAGCTAATTACACATCAGGGTTAATTAATTCTATAATATTAATGTTTAATTTTTGTTTTTCTGAGGTCAGGTTAACCAGCCCTTCTCAGCTAATCTCATTTCCCTGTAATTTCTGATAGAATAGATGCAGAGTTTCCCCACCAATTGTTTCAGATTCAGAAGGGTGGATTAAATAAAATCTCTAAGGAAAGAGAATATCTTTGTTCCATTCTACTAGTCTAGAACCTTGAAAAGATGGGCTACTTCCCATCTCATTTTCTGTGTCTATCATAATCTAAACAAGACACAAATGGTACACATGTACAAATAATAAACAAATACATATAAATACAATGTTATTTATTAATATAGATTCCCAGGGCCTAAGTATATTAGCAAATCAAATCCAGAAACGTTATTTAAAGAGCCAATTGTCATTAACTAGTAGAATGACAAGTTGATTGAACAATAGGAAATTTGGTAGAATTTTCCAATACACTGCACCAAGATAAAAGAGAAAAAGTATATGAATAATATGCAACCTAAAGCATTTTATGGAATTTAACAACCACTTAAAGTAAACAAACAAAGAGAGAGGACTGGGTGGCTCAGTCAGTTAAGCATTCAACTCTTTTTTTTTTTTTTTTTTTTTTACTTACTTATTTATTTTGAGAGAGAGAGAGACCTCCCATGTGGGGCAGGGAGCAGCAGAGGGAGAGGGACAGACTCTCAAGCAAACTAAGATTCTCCCACATAGGGCTCAACATCGGGCTTGATCCCACAACCATGGGATCATGACCCTGGGATCATAACCTGAACTGAAAACAAAAGCCGGGTGTTTAAGAGACTGCGCCACCCAGGAACCCCAAGAGTCAGCCTCTTGATTTTGTCTCCGTCATGATCTCAGGGTTGAGGGATACAGCCCCGTGGCAGGCTCCCACTCAGCATAGAATCTGCTTGTCCTTCTCCCTCTATTCCTCCTCCACTCCCCAACAAATCACAAATGCTTTCTCTCTCTTTCTCTCAAATAAATAAATAATAAATAAAATCTTTAAAAAGTAAATAAAAAAAACAAAATATTTTGTAATCCAGATGTAAGGGATTTCTTAACTTTATTAAGATTATATATTTTTTTAAAAACAAATATTAGAAAAATAACAAATACCTATAGAATTATTACTCTTAATATTCCTCTAGAAAAAAGTATTTTGTCTGTTAATTTTAGCATAGAACTGGTAGTCCTATTCAACACAATGAGGGGAAGAAATAGCACATATGAAAAAGGGAAGACAAATGGTTATGATTTACAAATGGCATTTTTTCCTTAACTATATTATCTACATTGTTAGCATACATAAAACCATTCAGTAAGATGACCAGGTAAAAGATAAACATCAAAACAGTAGTTCCAAATGATAAAAATAACAACTAACACATGTTTAACACAGTGTATAACAGGTAGTTTTTAAAATGCTTTCCAAGGGGGCACCTGGGTGGCTCAGTCGTTAAGCGTCTGCCTTTGCTCAGGTCAGGATCCCAGAGTCCTGGGATCGAGCCCTGCACTGGGCTCCCTGCTTGGTTGGGGGAAGCCTGCTTCTCCCTCTCCCACTCTCCCTGCTGTGTTCCCTCTCTGTCAAATAAATAAATAAAATCTTAAAAAATAAAAAAATAAATAAAATGTTTTCCAGGTATACTACATTTAATCCTCTGAGAAACTTCAAATAGGTACGTTATTAACTTCTAATATAATAGAAACCTAGTCCTTTTCACAAAGAAAGGAAAAAAAGAAATAAAAAGAATAAAACCAAAAAAGAATGTATAATATTTCTATGACAAATTCTCTGTTCATTAAAGTTTATGAAATAAGATTTGAATACATGGACAAGCAAATACGAAGATCCAATGTTGTAATAATTACCAAATTAATCTAAAAGTAAAATGCAATGAAAATTAAAATCCCAACAAAGATGTTTTCATTGAATGTAGAAAGCTTATTTGGGAAACGAAAATATGCAAGAATAATTGAGAGATTTTTAAGCAAGAGAGTGACAAAATACCTTTCCTGAACCAAATAATAATAAAAAAAAATACTATTTTATTAGAATGGGATTGATATGCTCATTAATAGAATAGATTTTTGAGTATAGAAACTGCATTCATTATGAATATAACATTTTTGATACGTGTTATTTTTAAATTGTGTGGATGCTATTAGAAAAAATCATAGAATAAGTTATGTGTGTACCTCATAGCATGCAGAAAAATAAGTTATGAATATTAAAAATCTTAGTCTGAAGGTTAAACTAAGAAAAGTTACAGGGGCACCTGGGTGGCTCAGTGGGTTAAGCCTCTGCCTTCGGCTCTGGTCATGATCCCAGGGTCCTGGGATCGAGCCCCGCATCAGGCTCTCTGCTCGGCAGGGAGCCTGCTTCCACCTCTCTCT